AAAAAAAAAAAAAAAAAGAAAAAAGAAAAAAGAAAAAGAAAAAGAAAAAGAAAGAAAAGATATGCTTTGAGTTTAAATCCTAGTTGTGTTTCTTTAACCTCTACAAGTTTCATTTTTATCTCTACCATGGAAATAGTATGACTAATGCCCCGCTCACACCTTATGCGCACCAGTGCATGTAATTTTCCAAGCCCACAGTGACGGTTGAAGCTTTCACTTGTACTTACAGATACTACTCTCCGTTTTTTTTTTTTTTTTTTTTTTTTAAATGTATTTGGTAAAAGGTCTCACTATGGAGCTCCGACTCATAGTGATCCTCCTGTGTTCAGCCTCCCCAGTGCTGGAATTACAGGCGTGTGCTACCAAGCCTGGTTGTGGGGGCCAGCACCTCATGTGGTGCCCGGATGGAATTCTGGTCCCCGCTAAGCAGGCGCTTAGTCTGCCAAGCTATCTCGCTGGCCCTCTGTCCTTTAAGACAATAGGAAAGGAAGGTCTAAGCCATGCGCTCCAAAGGAAAACTGGAATGTCTGCATGCAGCTTTCTCAATTTAGCGCTCCTACAGTTAGCTAATATGCCCTCTGTCCATTTTACGTATCATGTGCATTTCATGGGCGAGGCTACTGCGGTATAATATGCATAAGCAGCTTGTCTGTGGTCACTCAGAGCTATGGTCAGAGCTGACATGTGGCTCAGATAGCTGGCGTCAAAGTCCAGAATGTGCTGGGCCTGGTGGTGCATGCCTGTAATTCCAGCACTCTGGGAGGCTGAGGCAGGAGGATCACAAGTCTGAGTTCAGCTTGGCCAACTTGGTGACATATACCTGTAATCTCAGCTAGTCGGGAGGCTGAGGCTGGAGGATCACATTAGTGACTTAAAATTTTTTAAACTGAAAATTTTAAAACATCTGGGTGTGGAGCTTAGTACAAGATTTTGGGTTTAATTAAAACTAAACCCAAACTAAACAAAAAACCCAAACTAAACCCAAACGAAAACAGTTCAGAATCTTAACTATGAAAACCATAGTCCTATCCAGGATTTTGTTTTGTTTCTGGGACCAGGGATTGAACTCAGGACCTTGCCTGTGCCAGGCAGGCACTTATACTGAGGAGCCATCTCCCTGGCTCCTGTGGTCCTCTTAGTTAGTGTTTTCTTCCCATCCTTCACTTCTTTTGTATGGTACTGGAATTGAGTCCAAAAGCACCCACTCTACCACTACACTTCACCCCCAGCCTTCATTTTTATTTTATTTTATTTTTTTCAAAATTTTATTGATAAACAGCAATGAGACAGTTTCAAATCAAATCGGAAGTACAGTTTCAACAAATAACACACTGCATATATTCTTCTTAGTGGTTAATTGCTGTACAAGATGCGGACTTGAGATCCTATTTACAAACACCATTAGAACAAATCATTCTATTCATTAAGAGAATGCAACTATATATCTATCCTAACCACTTTGAATACACAGATACAAAATGGCCATTCATTGGTATACCCCATTTTTTCTAAGTTCCGTTATTGAATATTATAGGTGTGTAAACTCAGCAAAATATTCTAAAAGAGTCCAGTAGCCCATAATAGCATTGGGTCTTCTGTTTAACTGGCAATGTCAGAAATTATTGACCTGAGTCCCCCACAGCTCAACATAACAACATGGCTTTACTTCCTATATTTCGTCTTCATACTTTTCTACTGGATGGTTAAGACCAAGGTAAAGCAGGACCTGTGCAACAAGAGTTGTAGCTTTTTGGTCTGAGAAGGTCAGTGAAATGCCCTCAGGATTTATCCTGAGATCCTGTACCTCAGATTGTAGAACCTTTGTCAGTGCAGCCATGTGGATGAGTCACGGCCATTGCTTGGCCAATGTGCTCTCTGTGAAAGCCTGAGAGAGTATCTTCTCCCCATGTGACTCTCCTTAGGCACACTCTATGTCATCAATCACTTTCCTCTTTGGCCCCATAATCTTCTTGATCAGAAAATTTGGGACACTACCGAGGTACATGACGTTACAGTACAAGTTCTCATATGTCTTGAGTCTTAATTGACCTTAGAAGGTTAGGGCCAAAATGTTGGCTTTCCTTGTAGCCCTCCTTTTTCTCTAATTTTGGTCTGCAAACTTAGGTTGTTAACCATCCAGAAGACCAGCCTTCATTTTTTAATCTGAGACAGGATCTTGGTAAATTGTCCACACTAGCCTTGAACTTGTGATCCTCTTGCCTCAGCCTCCTGGCTAGCTGAGATTACAGGTGTATGCCACCACCCCTGGCTCTATCCTTTCACTTGTAACTTACCTATGTGTTATTTTTACCACAGGTTTTTTTTTTTTTTCTAGACAGTTATAGTTAAGTCTTGGTTTTAAAAATGTCTCAAAAAAAAAAATGTCTCATCTCGGGGCTGGGGAGATGGCTTAGTAGAATAAGCACTTCCCTGGCAAGCGCAGGGACGTGAGTTCAATCCCTAGTTCAAAAAAAAAAAAAAAAGTCTCATCTGATAATTTCTGGTTTTCATTTTTTAATTCTTTTGATGGCATGCCAAGATCCAGGGCTCCCTAGGACCCTCCCCTTTTGGGGGAGCTGGGATGGAAGCTGGGAGAAGGGGAGATTCTCAGTGGCAGGGCTGGCGTGGAGTGGGGATTTCCACAGTGAGCTTGCTGCCTTGGTGGCCTTGCTGGGCCACGGTCCAGAGGTGTTCACTTGCTGGCAGCCATGTGGGCCATCTGACCTGCCACCGTGTTGCTGTAGCCGAACTCATTGTCATACCAGGAAATGAGCTTGGCAAGGTAGTCATTGAGGGCAGTGCCAGTCCCAGCATCAAAGGTGGAAGAGTGGGTATCATGGTTGAAGTTGCAGGAGACAACTTGGTCCTTGGTGTAGCCCAGGATGCCTTTCAGGGGGCCCTCTGATACCTCTTGCACCACCTTTTTCTTTTTTGGTGGAACCGGGGATTGGACTCAGGTCCTTGCGCTTGCCAGGCAAGTGCTTATTCTACTGAGTCATCTCCTGCCCCTCATCACCTTCTTGATGTCTTGTATCTGCCCACTTTTTCCAGGTGGTAGGTCAGATCCACAACCGATGCATTGCACACTTCCCAGAGCTGGTCCACTGTCTGCTGGGCACAGCGATGGTGTGCACTGAGGTCAGGAGGCCCTCCACAGCAGTGGAGTTGTCCTGGGTGCCCTGACCAGGGGGTCAAGCAGCTGCTGGTTCCGTGTTCGCTTTGCTCTAACACACAGGCAGGCCTCCCCTCTTTCTGGTTTCTAATCTCTTCTGGGGCTTGAAGTAGGAAATAGTGCCTAGACTGCTTTTGCTTTTTAGAATTTCCAAATCAATTTGTGTGTGTGTGTGTGTGTGTGTGTGTGTGTGTGTGTGTGTGTGTGTACCATAATTTGGGGCTCCCTGGGGACAACTTTGGGGTTCCTCTTTCTCCAGCCCACCAATGTCTACATGTTTACAACTTCCTTCCGGTGCTGTCTCTGCTCCCCATACCTTGAACAGTCATCCTCGGCTGGTCTAAGTGTGCACATATGTGATTTGCATAGTCAGATGCACAGTGTTAAGGTCCTGTTTCAACAGATGTAGCTGTGAGCCCAGCTGAGGTGTCTAACATTTCCTCCTCCCTGGAAAGCCCTCCCATGCTCCTATTCTAGTGAACCTGCCTCACCATGTGCGACCACCTGAATTAATTTTCCATGACAGAAGTACAGATGTTATTTTTCAGTCCTTATGTTTGTGTTTAGGTTTGTTTATTGCGTGATAGGTCTTCTATGCTAGAGGATGTTCCACATGCATTTTTAAAAAAAAAATTTAGGGAAGGGTTTACAGGGTGTTCAGGGTCTCGTTAGTAGATCAGACTCATAGTGATCCACTTGTCTACAGCCTCCCAAGAGCTGGGATTGCAGGTGCTCACCACCACGCTCAGTCTCAATTGCTATCTCAGCACACCCTGGGGGTGGGGCCAGTATGGCAGGCCTGGGGATTGAACCCCTGGCCCCTGTGCCTGCTTGCAGGTGCTTTAATCCATTGAGCTATTTGGCTGACCCTTCCATGTACATTTGAAATGAATTTGTATTCTCTTGTTTATTTTTCCTTTCTTATTTTTAAAATTTATTTTAAAGAGTGTAATCATAATTGATAAGATATTAGAAATCGTATACATTTAGAAGAACAAGTTGAGAGGTATCCTACCATGGTTTTGGGATAGTACTTTGCTGTCTTTGATGCAGTTGCTCAGATTACAGATACTAGCATTTACAGTTAGTCAAAGTGAAAATTTTAAATATTAACTGTTATTTTCAAAGAGCTGATGGAATTAGTAGTACAATCATTTCAGCTATCCTACTTTCAGCTTGCATGAGTTTTCCCCCTTCTTTTTTTCTATCTTTTGAGGCAGGATCTCACTGTGCACTTCAGGCTAGCTTTGAACTCACTACTTACTGTATAGCCCAGACTGGCATCGAACTTGTAGCAATTCTCCTGCCTCAGACTCCTGAGTGCTGGGATTCTGCTATGCCCAGCTTGTGATAAATTGCTTTCAACTGTATTTTCTCCCTAGTCTTTTTTTTTTTTGTCTCTAGTACTGGAGGCTGAACCCAGGGCTTCACACTGAGTTACACCCCTTCTTTCTTTTCTTTTCTTTTCTTTTCTTTCTCTCTTTCTTTCTTTCAATGCATTTAGTACAGGGTCTACAGGGTCTCACTACCCAGATCAGACTCATAGTGATTCTCCTGTTTTCAGCCTCCCAAGCACTGGGATTATAGGGGTGCAGCACCACACCCAGTCTCAATCGCCATCTCACCGTGCCCTGGGAGCAGGACTGACACGGCAGCCAGGAATCCAACCCCGGTCTCTGTGCTCTGACAAGCAGGCACTTTAGTTCATTGAGCTATCTGGCTGGGCCTTTCTTTTTTCTTTTGAGACAGGGTCTTGCTAAGTTGCTATTAAACATGTTTTTTCCTCATTTTTTTTTTCTTCCAGTACTAGGGCTTGAACCCAGGGTCTTTGCACTGAGATCCATCCTCAGCCCTTTTTATATTTTTATTTTGAGACAGGTTTTTGCTAAGTTGCCTGTGCTGAGATTAAATTTGTGATCATGCCGCCACACCCAGTTCCTGTCTTTTGTTTTTGATACAAATCCTTTCTCTGCTTCCAAAAGCCTGAGTATTTGTTATATCCTGGCCAGGAAGCCCCCTTCCCTTCTGCTTTTCTTTCTCCTTCACTTTAAAAATAATCCAGGAAACCCTTAGCTGTGTAGATGAAGATTAGGGCCATAGAGTGGTTCAAAATTCCAAGCAAGCAGACAGAACCCTTGGTTTCCTATGACGAAAAATGTTACTTCAAGGGATAATGTTAAACGTCAGGATGTCACAGCACCTGCTCTCTGGTGGTCACTGTTCTGCACGCTTACAGTTTATGTCACATTTAATCCTTACATCCACCCCTAACTACATAGGAGGCAGCGGCTGTTATCCCCCATTTACAAATGAGGAAATTGAGACATAGCATGTGGATTACTTGATTTTCAGTTACTATAACCAAATACCCAAGGCTGTATACTTTATAAAGAGAAGAGGTTTATTTATTTAAAAAAATTTTCAATATTTATTTTGAGAGGATCTCATTATATAGCTCAGCTGGCCTTGATTTTTTTTTTTTCGGAACTGGGGGTTGAACTCAGATCCTTGCATTTGCCAGTCAAGCGCTTATCCTTATGAGCCATCTCCCTGGCCCTCAGCTGGCCTTGAGCTCACTGTATAGCTCAGGCTGGCCTTAGACTTGTGGTGCTCCTCCTGCCTCAGCCTCTCACGGGCTGGCATTATAGGTGTGCGCCACCGTACTGTTGCAGTACGAGGGATGAAGGCTGAACCCACAGCCTTCACAGAGCAGCACCACTGTCCCTGCCTGTCCTTCCTTTTTACATTTTGAGGCAGTTTCAATATGTTGGTCAGGCTGGCCTCTACCTTGTGATCCTCCTGCCGCAGTCACCCAAAATGCTAGGATTACAGACATGTGCAACCACACCTGGTAGAAAAGAAGTGTATTTAACTACTCAGGAGGTGGAAAGTCCACTCAGAGAGGTATTATGATGATGAGGATGAGAGTGTGACAGAGAACAGCCACAGGGCAAGGCAGGAAGCCAGAGGCTGGGAAGGGCAGCCTTCTTCCGGGGATTATACCACTCCCCGAGAGCAGCGGGGGCCTCCAGTGACCCACACACCTGCCATCAAGACAACCACGCCACCCCCCAGCAGTGTGTTGGTGGAGTGCAAGGGAAAGTTGAAGGACACAAGTTGCGGGTGGATAGTGAGCCTGCCATGCAGCCGTGGTGGCTAGGAAGGGCCTGGGCAGCTTCTTCAGTCCCCGCTATGTGGGTCGGCGTGAGGGTGGGCTCATCCTGTGGGAGCTCCAGAAGGATTGATGGCTACATGGAATTTGTGCCTGCAGAATTTTGTGGCCAATGCTCACCGCTCTTCACGAGTTTACTGGCTGGGGCTGAATGACAAGGACAAAGAAGGTGACTGGAGGTGGCTGGATGGCTCTCCTATCACATTAAGGCAAGTATGCGGGGCTCCTGCGGTCTCTCTGTCTACTCTACAGGCAGGCAGTGGGGTGTGTGGCTGAGGGAGTCAGGGCTGGTTTTTCTCTTCTTCCTTCCCTTCCTTTCATTGTCTCTTTTCTTTTCCTCCTCTTCTTCCTTCCTTCCCCTCCCTCCCTGCTTTCCGCCCTCCTTTCTTCCCTCTTTCCCCACCTTTTCTCCTTCTTTTCCTTTCCCTTTTTGTGGTACTTGGGATTGAACCCAGAGCCTTCACACTGAGTTAACTCCCCAATTGTTTTTTGATTTTTCAGTCTGAGACCAGGTCTTGCTCAGTCAGTGAACTGTCCAGGCTGGCCTTGAATCTGCAGTTCCATTGCTTCAGCCTCCCCGAGTGCTGGGATCGTAGGCATGTGCCATCACGCTTGGCTTATTTTGTTTTCTTTGTGGTGTTGGGACCTTGTACCTGGTGGGCAAGTGCTCGAGTCCTGAGCTGTACTACCAGCCCTGTTTTATCTTTTTATTTTGGTTCTTTCTTTCTCTTTCTTTCTTTCTTTCTTTCTTTCTTTCTTTCTTTCTTTCTTTCTTTCTTTCTTTCTTTCTTTTTTGTCTGCCTCATGATGCCTTCAGGGCAGGTCCGGTTTGGCTTGAGGATCTGGGGATCGAACCACAGCCTCCTGAGCCTGACTGCTTTGTTTTGTTTTGTTTTGTTTTCTTTTCTTTTTTTCTGACTGCTTTGTTTAAGCAGGCACTTAAACAATTAATCTTTTTATTTTGGGACAAGGTCTTGCTAAGTAGCTCAGGATGGGTTCAAACTTGCGATCCTCCTACTTCAGCCTTTCAGGTGGCTGAAATTGCAGGTATGGACCCTCATTCCTACGTAGGTTTCCATCGTTTTTTTTTTTTTTTTTTTTTTTTTGGTGGATGTATTATTTACTGGAGTCCCCAGTTTACTCTGCATTGTATAAGTGCTTTATTTTATTTTAGTTTTTGTGTTCTTGAGACAGGGTCTTACTATGCAGGCTGGCCTGGAGCTCAGTTTGTAGTCCAGGTTGGTCTTGAACTCACAACAACCCTCCTGAGTCAGCCTCCCGCATGCTGGGATGACAGGTGTGTGCTACCATGCCTGGCCTCATGCATGGGTTTGGACGACTACATAGTGGCACGCATTTGCTAGTCCAGTGTCATACAGAGTGGTTTCAGCACCCAAGAAATCCTTTGTGCTGCCTTTGTTATCCTCCTTTTCCACTGTTTCCTCCACCAGTTTCTGGGACCCTCAGGAACCCAACAATTTCTATGAGGAAGACTGCGTCTGTATGAATAAAGGTGGCAACTGGAATGATCTCTCGTGTGCCAAAACTACGTACTGGATTTGTGAGCGGAAATGTTCCTGCTGAGCCGGCCCTTGGAGAGGAGTCTCTGCCCCTTCCCGATAGGCTATGCCTCTTGGCGAACTCACCCGGATGTGTTAGAAGTGTGGTCGGCGGCCCAGTAGTAACACGTTCTGGCACCAGCTGGGCCCTTCTGTTTCAGAAGGACGGTGAGCTGGCGGCTGCTGGGTCTTGGCAGCCTGAGAGCTCCCAGTTCTGGGATATGGAGGACATTTGCCAGATTCCTAGTTGTGGCTCTGGAGAGTCAATTGTGGCTGGGTACTCTGGGTCTCCCACTGCATTGGGCTGACACCTTCTGGCCTCCCTGGGCCATGCCGAGATGGAACTGGGACAGGGCTCCTTTATGGCCTCCTTGGTGTGCAGCAGCTCCTGAGAAGTGGCAGGGACAGAACAATTTGATGACCAATGTTCTTTCTTTTTTTTGGCGGAACTGGGGATTGAACTCAGCCCTTGTGCTTGCCAGGGAATCGCTTATTCCACTGAGCCATCTCCCCGGCCCCTGACCAATGTTCTTGATTCTCAAAGGACATTGGTACAAGTGAGGTGGCAGCATCTTCATGCTTCTGGTAAGGCCTGGCCTGTGGACACAGTCTGTGTCTGTCTGTCTGTCTGTCTGTCTGTCTGTCTGTCTGTCTCACTCTCTGACACAGGGTCTCCCTATGTAGTGGCCCTGAACACGTCATGGCTATCCTCCTATCTCAGCCTCCCAAATCCCAAGTACTGGAATCACAGGCATGCACCATGACACCCATAGCTTGCCCTGTGGAATTTGGAGAAAGAGATCAGCGAAAAACAAGACTTCCGCACAGTGGAGGCGGCCCATGCCGTGACTGACTCAGGCCCACAGGACAAGCGGGGAGATTCCTGCCTACACGTACCCTTGAGCTGTGCTGTGGACGGTAAAATGTTTGGCGAGGTTGCTATCACTTCACATCTATGGGGACTTTTTAAATTAGCTCTTATAGTGTTGGTACTTCTCAAATGTCACTTCCTTGTGTGGTGCTGGCCACTATGGCAATTTTATAGGGCTGCCACACTAAGTCCTTTTAGAAATCTTTTTTTTTTTTTTTTTTGTAATACTGGGGATTGAACCCAATTCCTTTGCACTGAGCTACATATCTAATTCCCCACCTTTATTTTGAAACAGGGTCTCATTAAGTCACTAATTGGCCCACATTGGGCTTAGACTTGCAGTCCTCCTGCCTGAGCCTCCCAGAATGCTAGGATTATAAGCGTCTACTGTAACACCTGGCTCTTAGTTACCTATTTAAAGACCCAATCTCCAAATGTACATTCTGAGGTACCAGGGTCTAAGACTCTAACATATATGTTTTGAGGAGCACAATTCACTCCATAATAGCCACTAAGAATGAGATACCCCAACCCTTGATCATATAACAAACAAACACCACCACCCAGAGGGTAGATACCGCATCCAGCCAAGCACACACGGACTCAAGTCCCTTTGGACAATGCCTGAATTTTACCCAATGATGGATAGACTTGCTCCAAATGCGATAATTTATTAATACATGTCCTTAACTAATAGCAGAATCTAGACGCTCATGGAGAGGAGGCCTGACAGGCTCAGAGGGGGCTGTGGAGGATGTTGGGGCTCACGTCACTTCCTTTCCCTCTATTTTTGTCTCCTCCCACCTCTACATTTGCCCCCACATCCTTAGGACCCCAAAGCTCCCCATGCAGACCGCAGCCTGTGGAGTGTGTGGGGTCCTGTTCTAGGCCCTTCCCCCAGGGGACCGCTGGTTCTGGCAAGTGTTTATCTTGGGTCAGGGGAAGTTCCCACCCTTCAGAAGAGGAAACTTCCATTTTCTCAAAAATAAGTGTTGAGAAATGAAGAAGCACGCTGTTGTGGTCAGGCTTCTGAGTCACACGGGGGGGCCACAGCAGAGCTGAGACGTATCACCTGTGTCTTTCTCCACTGTCAGGCTGAAAACAGGTGAATGTGAAGGGCATCCCTTTACCACTTAGTGTCCAGCGCATGCCCTAGGTGGATCTGAATCATAATAGTCCTGTGGTATGGGCTGGATATGGTGAGATCCTCATATAATTTTTGCCATGACTCTGTGAGGTTGAAAGAAATTACTAACCCCACTTTATACCTGGGGACATGGAGGCCCAGAGGGTCCCTGTGGCCTGTCTACTGTTGTTTTGTGAATAAATGACAGGGTTTGGGCTGTCTGTGCCCTGAGTGGTTGGTTTCTTTCTGTAGCATCTGCTGCCTTTTAAGGGATGGTCCTGTACATTTGAAGTTGCCCAAGTTCTCTGATCTTGAAGCTGCCCCAGCTGGTTATTGTAGGGAGGAAACAGGGTTATGTGGTTGGACACAGACATCATGGGTTGAGAAAGGAGACTAAGGTCTGGGTCTCAGTCCCCTGAGAAAGCAGCTAAGATCTGGGTCTGTTGCTGAATCTCTTTGTCGCTTTTCTGGGGCTGTGACCAATACAGGTGAGAGATTATGAGGACTGGGAAGCTAGCTAGAGTGAAGGAGCTGGGAGGGGTGGTGCATTCCTGTAATTCAAGGATTTGGGAAGCTGAGGCAGGAGAATCGCTGCAAGTTCAAGGCCAATCTGGGATACATAATGAGTTTCAGGCTAGCCTAGGCTACATAGCAAGATCCAGTCTCAGACGATAAACAAGGAAACAAACAATGGACCAACCAACCAGTCAACCAATTAAAATGAAGGCTTGGAGAATTCTGGACCTATTGAAGACATGGCTACTGGATTTCCTGGTGAATTAGATGGAAGGTATGACAGAAAAAGAAGCAATAGGATAGATGGAATTATCAGAGATGGGGAAAAAATGATGTACAATTACCCTCTCCATTTACATGGTTCAGCTGGGTGTGGTGGTGCACACTTAAAACAAAAGCCCATCTTCCCAAGGCCACCTCCTCTTCCTTCTCCAACTCAGCCCAGGGTGCAATTTCCTTTCACCCTTCCCGCCACCTCAGGGAAGACCCCAATCAGCTCCTCAGGTGTATCTAAACATCCCTCTCAAACTCCACCCCCGGCAAAAGGCCACCGACAGCCTCAGCCTCCTTTTTTCCAATCCAAAAAATTCCTCATCTTCCCCAGATTCTCTCCATGTCCTCAAAGACAATAAAGCCCCTTTCCCGTTTTCCTTCTGCCTGTTCCTCTGCTGTGTCAGGTGCCTGGAAAAAAAAAAACAACCTATCAGTTTCTTCCAGTTTCTAGAGGTTGCTTGCTTTCTTTTAACTCATGGTCCTTCCCTACACCTTTGAACCTAGCATCTTCTAGCCTTTCTGTTTTCCTGATCCCCTTGTTAGGCCCATATGGATAATTCAGGATTCTTTTGCTGCTAGAGTCTGCATATGGACCATCCCAAGGCCCAGTATTAAAGTCCTATGGTGCTACTAGGTGGTGGCAGAACTTTAAGAGGTAGGAGCTCTAGGGAGGAAGCCAGGCCACAAGACTGGTGCCCGTGAGGGTTACTGGGGTGCCTTCCCCTTATTCTCTCTCATTGCTTCCTGGCTGCCATGAGATGAGTCGCTCACCTCCCTGCCCTATGCTGCCACCATCATGGCCTGGCCTGCCACAGGCCCCAAGCAGCATGGTCAAAGGACCATGGATGAAAACCTTTGCAGCTGTGGACCAAAATAAATCCCCCCTTTTTTAATGTGTTTATCTCACGTATTTTGTAGAGTGATAGAAAGCTAGCAAGCTCCCCACCTCAAGATCTTTAAATTACTCCACATCTGTGAGGATCCCTTTGCCGTATAAAGTGACGTATCCACGGGCTCCAGAGACTAGGATGTGGATATCTCTGATGGGGAATGTTACTTGTCCTTCTACACCCTCACCTTCCCCTAAAGAAGTACCAGGCCTAATTTGTGACAGTCATTCAAGGGACTGAACTCACAGACCATTTTTTTTTTTTTATGAGCAGAATATATTTATTGAGAGAAAGAAAGCTCCTGTCCCAAGAGAGGGACAGGAGGGGGAGGCCCGAGCGGGTAGTTCTGAGAGAGGGACAGGAGCGGGGGCCTGAGCTGTCTCTTCCAGGGATTTTTATAATGTAAAACCATGCGGGGCTAAGGTAGAGAGAATGGGAGCTTGCTTAGGTGGGCAGGAAGTGGGACAAAACTATGGTCAACCAATGGGATTACAAGCACCATTGCTCAGGTAAAACTCACAGACCATTTTGAATGTGTCCATTTTTCCAATAAATATATTCTTGGCTGGGCTATAGCTTTGACTTGAATTTTTTTTTAAAGGAGGAAAACTTATTTAGATTATAGTTAATAGAGATTTTGATCCACAATTGGCTGGCTCCAAGGCAGGGTGGCACACAGTAGGGGGGTCAGCTGATGGTCCCAGAAGCCAGCAAGATGACAAGAAATGTATGGTTTGGATCTTAAGGGTTCCCAAAGGCTCACATGCAAGAAATCTTGGTCTCTAGCTGATGGTGGAGGTAGGAGCTGGTGGAGCCTTTGAGAGGCAGGGAGGAGGAAGTGAGGTCCCTGGGGGTGTGGCCTTGAAGGCCACTGTGAGACTCGGGCTCCTCCTCCCTCTTTGCTTTCTGATTGTCAGGAGGTGAGCAGCTTTATTTTGCCACTTGTCCCTCAGCATGATCTCACTTGCTACAAGACCAGAGCAACAGGACAAACAACCATGTGCATTGTTGTAGCAAGGACTTGAAGGAGGGACTATGTAAAATACAGTTTGGCAGAAGGCAGTCCACAAATGATAGCGGTCTCAGTTATTACTTGGACTAGAATCCTGACTTGATGATCATTGCATTGGGCATGCTAGGTCTATCCAAAGACATAGGCAGGGAGTGTGTAGGTAACTAACAGTCACAAATAATCCATCTCAGAGGCGTTCAGGACCCTGCCTCTAGGCGTCAAAAAGCAGAGAGCATCCCATTTGAGCCACCTCTCACATTTGGTTCCACAGATATATGCTGAACACCTCTTACTTGGAAGGTGCTTACCAGGGGCTGTAGAGGGGAGGGGGATATGGCATTTTCCTCTCAAGTAGCTGATATTATTTTGATGGATTTGATGGTCCATTATTTGTTTTATTATTATTATTATTATTATTATTATTAGTAGTAGTAGTAGTAGTAGTAGTATTAGTATTATTATTAGTATTAGTATTTAGTACAGGGTCTACAGGGTCTCACTACGTAGATCAGACTTGTAGTGATTCTCCTGTGTTCAGCCTCCCAAGGGCTGGGATTACAGGCTCGCATCACCACTCCCAGTCTCAGTCGCCATCTCAGCATGCCCCAGGGGTGGGGCCGACATGGCATGGCAGGGATTGAACCCCAGCTGCTGCACTCTGCCAAGTAGGTGCTTCAGTCGGTTGAGCTTTCTGGTGACCCAGTGGTCCATTATTTGCATGGTCCATC